TAAGCATAAAAGTCCAGTTTATTAGCTGCTCCATTAGCAAACTTTCAACTTCAGTAGGCCATGCTCAGAACAGTTACACACAGTAACGGGTTTACAACTGCACTAAATGAATGCCAGGATCAGAAGTGAAAGAGTAGCCATTTCAAARCAGTTCAGCAACCTTCTCTTGTTCTACTGAACATTATGAAAAACTCCATCTCTTCATGCTTAACACACAGCCTGTAGGAAACCACAGTCACAAAGATAACGACAACTGTAAATTCTCTCTTCCTCAGTTTTCATAGAATCACACAATGGGTTGGGTTGGAAGGGACCTTAAAGACTATCTTGTTCTATTCCCCTGCCATAAGCAGGGACCCTTTCCACTAGACCAGGTTACTCCAAGCCCYGTCCAACCTGGCCTTGAACACTTACAGGGATGGGGCAGCCACAGCTTCCCTGGGCAACCTGTGCCAGGGCCTCACCATCCTCATAGGGAGGAACTTCTTCCTGATATCCCATCTAACCTTGCCCTCTGGCAGTGGGAAGCCATTCCTCTTTGTCCTGTCCCTTGAGGCCCTTGTTCAAAGTCCCTTTCCATGCTCACTTGGAGCCTCTGTAGAAACTGGAAGGGGCTCCAAGCTCTCCCCAAAGCCCTTCTCCAGACTAAACAACCCCAATTCTCCCAGCCTTTCCTCATAGCAGAGGTGTTTCAGACCTCTCACCACCTTGGAGGTCTCCTCTGGACTCACTTCAAAGAGGCTGATTTCCTTCCTCTGCTGGGAACCCCAGAGCTGGATGTAGCTCTGCAGATGAGGTCTCACCTGAGCAGAGTCCCCTYCTTGCAGGCCAATCTCTCTCCTCTAGTGCCCACAAAAGAAGCTGTCCTATTTAAGGCCTGACATGCCAGCTTCCTCCCTCTCTGAAGGCCAACAGTTTCTGCAATGTTACATTCTTGACATGACAAACTAAGGAAAGCCCTGTGAAGAGAGAGCTATGCTAGCAGAGAGCACCGTGAGGTACAGCCCAGCGTGGCTGAGACAGGAGCTCCACATCCAGCTAAGCAGGGRGTTACCTAATGTAATGCCTGCACTAACCTTTTCAAAGGACACTGYTCTCACATTTTTCAACTTACCTGGCACCACAGGAGGGCTGATAGGTCTCCTCCTCCCAACACTGCTGAACTAAATTAGACCATTTCAGCAGAGAAACGAGCCTTGGCATAAAGCATGCTGAAGCCAAATCAAAAATACACTGAGGAACAGGCCACTTCTGGATTTCTTAGCATGCTTGCATAGGCAGCCTACCATAAGCTCACACTGCCTTTTACCACTTTAGTCTCTTTAACTGAAAAGACTGCTTTTTCAAACCACATTATTTCCCTGTTCCCACATCACTGTATATTGCTCTCTCCTGAAACTCCTTTAAAAGTAATCCTTTGGAGTACCTCCACCTACACATTCTCACAGCACATTACCTACACATTCTCACAGCGCATTGCTCTTATACAGAAACAACGGATCAGCAGTCTAGATAGTTCTTAAATAAACACCACCTTTATACTTCAATTAGTTTMATTCTCTTGCTGTTCATACCTGTTGAAAACAAAGTATTTTGTAGCCTTTCACGGTTAAAAAACTTGTGTTTTTTCACAGAGATAAGGGTACCCAGAATATCTAGTAAAACACTCCATATGCAGGCAATGCTTACAAGGAGTTTATACCATCAGGTACAGAAAGGGAATTTGTAGGAACAAAATTAAAATGTTATTATTTTCATTTGATAATTACTCAGATTTACAGAACTCAATAGCAAGTGGCTATCAATAGCTAAAAAGTCGCACTCCAGTGAGAAGCAGCGCACAGTAGGCTCTAAACGAGTCCAAACAGCCCACTGTTCTCCTGTTTTATCACAGAAAGTATTCATGATAATCTTGTCATGCTCTGGGTCTCCCCTCCCTCATAATACATGGCAAGCCCTTTCCCTATCAGTACAGAATGAGACATAGTGCTGCAGTAGATAAAAGTTTGCTTTACTGGGTGAAATAATCTTTTAAGAAAAAAACCTGCTTAACAGAAAATATAGTATGAGGAAAACAGAAAAGTAATCTGACAGCAGTCCAAGTAGGAATTATTTCAATAATTTTCCAGATTTGACAGAGACCTGTGCAATTCTTCCAAATTTCAGATGCCACCCACTTCTGAGCAGGTTTTGGACCATTTATTAGTAATTTGCAGTAGATGTCTTGCTCAAGTCTCCATTCCAAAATGGAAGCCCATTTCATTTGGGTTCTACTGCCAAGTATTCAGCTTCATGCTCAACAGAAAATATGCCGTCAATAACAAGGGAAAAATCTTTTGGTGATTCACTGACACAGACTTTTACTTCTGTCATATTCACAAAGAAAGCTGCAAGCWAATCCAGCAGTTTCAGAAGAGAAGGCATTCTTGGTCCAAACAGAAGATAATACCTGGTATCACATTAAATATATACCAGAGTTCTRGTCAAACTTGTCTCTTAATGTCTCAGTATCTTCTATCATGACACATTCCCTGCAGCCTTCAGCTCACAAGCGCTAGGACCGCACACTGAAATACCACTTCCTGGTTACTGGAAGACACTTCTGCTTCAGATCTGTGATAGCTGCTCTCCAGCTGACTCATTCAGCTGAAACTGAGACATGTTCATGATCTTGCTAACACAGAGCTTCTCAGTTACTKCACATGAGAGGTGTGCTGTTGCAGAAAGAAAGACACCCCCTTATACCTAATTTTCATTCATGCTAGTATGAGGTGGGATGCAAAGGGAACAATATCTCACCTATCTACAGACAAAACGGCTATAAAAACATACGAAAAAAGCCGGCAAAATTTAAAAAAGAAAGGTTGCAATTAATCTACATATACTAATGAACAACCTGTTTTGATCTTACCAACCGACCTGCTGTTTTGCCCTGACAAAGTGAGAGCTTGGGACTCATCAGTCTTACTTCACTTGTTTCATTTCTGCACTGTTTCTTACCATCTCCTGTACCTGGCCACTTTTTAAACTCCCTGTCTCAAGGAGTGGTTAAAACTCTCCTTCCCTCGATCTCTGGAGGCCTATCTGCCTTTTCTAAGGTGATAATGTCTCTTTGATTACAGCTCTTCGATGGGCTGAACTCAAGTCACCAAACCTTCACCAAAGCCAGGCAGCCTTCCTGTCAGATTCCACTGTTGTCAGCTTAGTCACCTAAACTGCCAGAAAACTACCAAGACAAGAAAGTTTTGCCATCTTTTAAATAGGTCAAATCAGTTCAATAATGTCCAAAAAGCACTATCATGGTACAAGGTAAATGGCAGGAATAGGAAGAAAGGCATTTCAGCAATGAGCTATTGGATCAACTCAACCTGCATGTGAAACTGTACCTTACTCTGAACCTCCCAACCCACAACAACCCTCATCCTATAACAATATGTAGTGCTTACATGTCTATAGCACACATTACACAATTCTTGCCTAAGAGCAAACATAATAGCAGTTAATCACTGAAAAGCAACAAATCCCCAAGACCTTTCTCCTGTACTTTCACTACACAACACTTATGTATTTGCACTCTTTCCCTTCTCCCAGAAAAAGGCCTTCTAGTCCACACACAACTAATCATGTCGACACCTTTCCCTTCCTCTGTTATTTTTCAAGAATTGCCTAATTCCTTTCCAAGACAGCTTATAACCAAAATAATTCAGTGTTGAAAGTAACCCAGCAAGGCCTTTAGAAGACAGAATTGAAGCCTTACTTTGCAAGTCATAACATTGAGATCTGACTTCTTCACAGAACAGTAACAAGGGCAGTAACACAGAGCCCCTTCTCAACCTCATCTCAAAGAGAGTCATGTCCAAGCAATACTTGAACTTACCACTACCTGCTAGCTTTAGGCAGGGACAGCATGCTCCTGTTTCTGCCTCAGGATTTCCCAAAACAGTAAGTAGCCTGTTGCCCAAAGGAGTTTGTTCAAGCTTTCTCCTTCTASTGAAGCTAGCACTCAGGTTGGACAGTGTATTTCTTAACCTCATCTCAATGAGAGTCGCAGAGAAACTCAGAAAAATATTTACATTTAACCGGCTCCTAGTAACTCAAGAGCTGCTGTTTTGTCCCATCATGAGAATTACCAAATAATGCTAGTATGCAAACACACTGTTCACTTAAAGCACCTTGCTTAGTTTGTTTATGAGACATTTCCATAAAACCTGCMAGATCTTTTGATAACTTAAATACCCTTTTAGGGAAAAAGATACCAACCAAAATCCGAGCCAAATACCACAACAAATAGAGGGTTTCAAGACTCCTCTTACACTGAGTGYGAAGATATCTAGAGTTTTTCATATCTAATATGCCATTGAAATGCATGGAATATCAATGCGACACAAGAAAAACACATAAAAGACTATCACAGGCAGGTAGGAGAGTACAGGCTCTAGAAACGGTTTATAGGAAAGCAAAGCTTTTCTGGTCTGGATTGTTAAAGTTACTGATAAAACCAAACCGAAGATGAGCAATAGGAAAAATACAACAATTGCAGTTAAAACAACTAGAGATTTTGATTTTGATTGACTTTTTAAAGGAGCTGAACACTCAACAGTTTTAATACAGTGAACAGAGCAATACTTCTAGCAGTAAACCAGACTAGGCTAAATGCTAAATTTAGATGCAAGCAATTCTAAAGAGACATAAAATTGGGATCAAACACACAACCCTTTAAACACAGATGCGAGACAGGGCTTYTCAATAAAATCTTAGATGCTGTGAAAATTCTGCCATCCCATGAACAAATAAGCAAGTTCAAATCCTGTGAGTGAAGTAGGTCAGGCATGGAGATTAACATGCAAAGAGCAGAAAGTTCTAGAGAGCACAGAACTACCACGGCATGGTATTTAGGTTGCACTTTCCCAACTGCAATGATAAGGATGTACTTCTCTAGGAAGCACATCCCTCATTWCACCTGGAGCAAGCCCACCTCCTACACACTGTGGGACCCTCACCTTGTTGTAGAATTCTTGCTCCCTGGGACCACGAGGTGGTGGCTGCAACTGCTTCAGGACAGTCCCATCTGGATGCTGCAATATGCCTAGAAGAGAAGCATTTCCTTCAGGACTTAGTTTTAAGAGGTACAGCTTTTTTTTGCCTTTTTTTCACAGAAATAGTGGCTTTTCCATCAAGGACAGCCTATTGAAAAGCTATAGTGCTTCCACTACACAAACAGTAGAGACAAAATTGTTAGCTCCTACACATAACCCTTAGAAGAGGTTTGCATAATATTCTCTTATTTCTAGCCACTGAATGATTTTCTAGGTGTAGCTCTGCCCAAGGCCAACACAGTACTGGGATTTGACATTAAAAGTCCTACTCCCAAAAACCCCACCATTAACTAAAGAAGATTACATAGACACTCCCTTTTAAAAGAATTCATAAATTGTTTTCCAACAATGCCAAGAAGTTAAAGGTGTACCACATTAAATGCATTTCTCACTATTAGAACAGAAATAAATGTCCTGTGAATGTACATCTATACTAGTAGCTCAGAAAGAGTATGTCTTTACTACAAGAAGTATCATCCCTACAGCACTCCAAGCTATTTGTATCACCCATAATTACAGTACAGAAATTCATCTCAGCCACCCAACACCTTCATCAAGCTGCATAAAAAAACCCTCCAAAATACCCCCGTGAAACAGCCTTAATGACTCTCCAGTCACCAATATTTCTGAATACCTGCACAAGAAATGCAACCAAGTATCTGTGGATACTCAAGAGATGAATGTAGGCAAGAATGGAGGAAAGTAACTGCATCCCTCTGAAATGTGTACTCAGYTGCATCACCAGGTGCAAGGGACAACCAAAAACCCACCTCAGGAAAAGAAATTTCCTCCTAGGATAAATTTCTAGCTTTTCAGACAGTGATTTGTTTYGCTTAGAAGGGTATCAAAAGTATCAACTGTATCCAAAATTAGTTCCATTTTCAATTACCACATGAGAAAACAGAAAAATGAGACAGGAGCTTTGCAACCCAAAGAGMGTTTGCACTTGTAACAGCAATTGGGTTTTTCACCTCTTAAGAACCATTATCTATGAATGGGCTCTGTTGTGCAGTCTTGGAAACKAAACAAAATCTTTAGAGACCAAGATATTTACTTTAAAACAACTATCAGACTTAGAAGAGTTGTTTCAATAGTTGGCTATGCCAAATATTTGCTTTTAAAATTTGCCTAAAACAGCTCTCAAGTCATGTTTCTTGCTTTAAGTTAGATTATATACTTTCCAAAACTAGAAAAATATTGCCACAAAACATGTGCAGACTACCATGACATCTTCAAGACACAGAAGCTTGTGTTCCCCCTCCCTGTACCCTTTTGCTTGTGCTGGAAACCACTCTGCAAAGAGCATCAAGTACTTGAATGGCACATGTCCTATATGTGAATTGCTAACAATCACAACATTAAAATAAGTTTTATAACACACACTCCTCAAAAATCTGCATTTTGGCTTTGATAAAACAAGCAGACAACCTATCAAGTAGAAAGACCAGGCATAGATTCCTGGAAGCAGAATCCATACACTATTGGACTGATACATATTACTTGAAGAGTTTAATGTAAACTGACATCTAAAGTTCCCTCATTCTCTGCATTATTGASAGACCATATCACCTACTTTGTCACTGTGACTGAGGCAGGCCTGAAAACAGAGATATGTTTCAACATAAAACATAAAGATGTAAACTCCATAGCCTTCCCTCTGATTCACAACGAAAGGCAGATACCATCACCTGCAGTTCATACTAACATATGGATGTTGGTCATGGGTTTGTTGTAGGCTTCCTGGGGTTTTTCAGCACAGATAGGGAATAGTACTGTTTTAATATACAAAAAAGACACTTACCATTTTTGAAGAAGCACCAGAACTACGCTGAAAATAAAATCCTGAAATATCTCACAAACGCTTCTCTCTGGCTGTGGATGCAAAACTTGCTACCATTCTGAAAAGAGCAAGCAAGTTACTCTAAAGGAGAATGGCCCTTTTAGCTACAGAATCCTGCTAATGGCTTGGGGATCTCCAGCACTTTGCTGGGGTAAAGGCACCAAACCACAGCCAGGTGCAGGAGACTGTCTAAGGTGGTATATCCCAGCCTTTGTCTCTCTCTACCCGCCTACGGAAGTCGTTACTTTAGTTACTACAAAGTTTATCTGGGGGAAGAACTACTGCACACAGCACTCAACAAAAGGGCAGTCATAATGCACAGAGGCCTAATGTCTACAWGTGCACGCAGAGAGGCTGTGAGAGGCCTCTCTTTGCAAGGCAGTAGCAGTCACAGGGAGCAAAGGGAAAAAGGAAGGTTATGTAGGAGGAGGGAACCCTATGGCAAAGAAATTTTACAGTGTACTTTTACTAACAAAAAAAAAAAGCTAAAAATATTTTGGATACCTTCAAATCCTCACTCTGTTTGTATGTGGGAATAGAAGGGAAAGTTGAGTTACAAAAATGAGAGCTATGAGTACCAGAGCAGCTTCGGTCCTCACTTCAACATAAAACAGTTTCCAAGATGAGACCATCAACCTTGGTGGTACCTTTGCAGAAAACTCTTGGTCTTGGCCGTGAGATATAGTGGAGCTAGCTTTACTTAACCCATTAGAGTGGCACCCAAAATACAGATGATCATCTGTGCTGCTTGACCTAACTGCAGTAAGACTAATCAGCCAAAGGTGAAGCTCTCCCTCAATTGAGATTTTTTTTTGCCTGATCCCACCTCATGCTATGATATATGCACAAGGAACACATACAGCTTCAAGGATCCAATACACCTCCATCTACATTTTATTGCACCATCTGCAGCTGGGGCAAGGGACAAGAATTACTTTTCTGTGGAGATTATCAGCAGCGAGACATGCCATAGACACAGGCTGTAGATAAGACAAATTCACGGCGCCCTTAGTGCTGTAATTCCACTCACTGATGATTGACAAGGTTCTGAAGTTCAGCCCTTGGCAGGGGCAGAGAAAAGAATGACTTTTCTTTTGAGATTATCTGCAGCAAGACACACCATGGATGTAGGCTGTAGATAAGACAAACTCACAATGCCATTAGTACTGTAATTTCATTCACTGGATGGCTGACAGGGTTCTATAATTCAGCCCCTTGGCCTATTCAGCAGGGGCAGTTCCTACCGACAGAATTCAAAGGCAATGTGCCAGAAGGTACTCATTACAGCTACTCTCAAAGGGCACACTGCAAGTTGAATGGATGCATGCCTTCCATCTGGCTGAGAGGCAGGAGTTACCCCAAATGCGAGAAATATCATTCAGCAACATTAACTTGGCTGCTTGCTTTGGCACTGACTACTGCCTATGTTAAAAGGCCCCTTCAACCGAAGTGCCAACACATGACTCCTCAACATGGAGTTAAAATAAATTTAAAGCTAGTGGAGACATACTTAAAAATGCTGTGTCCTCATGTATTTGTATTATTAGCTCACTTAGTAGCCTTTGGTTCAGATTTATAATCAAACCCTATGGCAAACAGGCAAATAACAACAGCTTAATAATAAYTTGCTGAAGTTTCTGGCGGCCACAGGTTCAGGTGGTCTCGTAAGATAAATCATGGTTTTGACATATGCTCTGACAGAACCAGCGTGCTGTCACCTGAATTCCCTCTTTTAAAAGGTGCCTGACAAAATGCAGCTGAACGGCAGAAGCCCTTCGATTTAAAGGTGCCTGGTAACTACTACATCCTGACAGGCCAATGCCATTTAGAAAAAGGACCAGAAGAACGAAATTTGGCAGCGGCAACACCGCTCCATCCACAGCCTGTCGCAGCGAGGAAGCTCGACCAGCCCCCTCTCTAGCCTTCCTAGGGAGGCCCCGGTCCCTCGGCACTGCCCCAGGCCCCAACACCGACCGTCCGCGTTGCTGKGGCACCTCCGGCGGACAGGTGCGGACAGAGCCCGTCGCCGGGAGCTCGGAAACGGCGGCGGCGAGTCCTGCCCTCGCCCCCCGGCGCCGCTCCCGTCCGCATCGAACCTCGCCCCGACAGCCACGAGCTGCTTCTTCGCCTTCGGGCCATGAGGGAAGCCAGACCCGCCCGTCACAGCCGGTCTGCGAAAATTCATATGACCCCCTTCCCGGGTGACGCGGCCCGGCCCGCCGCTCCCTCCCCGCCCCCGCCGCCGCTCACCGCCTTTATCCTTGCCGTACATGTGCCCGGCCACCTGGTGCGACAGCGGCACACACCCGTTCAGCGCCCGCCGCCGGCCGCCCCCCGCCGCTGCGGGGCCCGGGGAAGCACCGAGCACCGGCTGGGCCGCGGCCTCGGCCTCCTCCGTCTCGCCGCGCCCGCCGCCCGCGTAGCACCCGCGCCCGCCGTCGGGGCGCCCCGCCGGCTGCGGGGGCTCCGTGGCCATGTCCCTGCAGTGGAGGCTGGCAGCGGCGGGCGAGCGGCGGCTGCGCTCTGGCGGCGGCGGCTGCGGGCGGGCCTCAGTGGGCCCTGTGAACCCGGGCGCGGGTGGTGAGGGCCGACGCCTCCATCACCCCGCACCGCACCGCGCTGCCCGCCCACCCCACGCTGGGGCAGCGACAGCCACCACCCCGCCCCGCCCCAGGCTCGGCTCCGCCTCCGCCGCCCGGCCTGGCTCGGCTCGGCCGCCGCTGCTGTGACGGTGACGGTGACGGTGACGGTGACGGTGACGGTGACGGTGACGGTGACGGTGACGGCGCCGAGTGGGGCGCGGCCGCGAGCGGAGGCCGGGACGGGCAGCGCCGGTTCGGCGGCCGCTGGAGGAGGCAGCAGGGCCGGGCGCAACAGCCGAGCCGGCTCCGAGCCGCAGAGCGGCCGGGGACTTAATCCCCGCGGGCGCCCCCGGCCGTGCCACCAGCCCTCGCTCCCGCGCGAGAGCCTGGCAGAGCCGTGCGGTGGCGGGCAGGGATCGTTCCCCTTCGCTGGTTCTCGGAAACCCGAAATATCGCTGAATCCCCTTGATTTTTAAATAAATAAACGCCGAGGTTTGTTTAAGTCTCTCCAGTAGATCGGAGTGACTGCAAGCGAGATCCAACCAAARTATGTGAACCGTATAAATCTTTACAATGGACAGAACCTTTGCACACTCTCTGCGTGCTGGTCTTGCATTAGAGATGAGTACATTTGGCCCAACATTAGATCAAAATTAGATAATGGATTAACCTCTAAGTTTAATTTTATCTCCCCATGGACAGAGGAAGGTATGCATGATGYTGCATTCACTCTCAGGACCCCAAAGCTTGGCTAGGAGACTTCATTAATACTTGGCTAGGGCACATACCAACTCTATTTACCAGCCTGTAATTACTGGCTTTTCTTTTTGCTGKTTTTTTCCTTCATAAAATGAGCAAATCTCTGTGAATATTAGATCTGCACTTTTGCTGTGGTATCTGCATCGAGTTATGTTTAGCATCAGTAGGACACAGGAACAGGAAAAAAAGGCCTGAGGAAAGAAAATTAATTTTAGTAGATATAGGTTGTTTTCCCAGGTTTTATAGAACAGCCTAATGCATATTCAGGAATTGGCACTGACATCAGAGGAACTAAGATATTGCGAGCTTGGCTATTTACCACCTCTTCCCCATCCCATAGCTGGGAAATATGGCAGGTAGTTGGGAGACATGCAGGAAGTTTGAGGGATTTACTGGGAAATTAAAGTATGAAAGGTGAAGGATGGTCACAAGGGAAAATTAAGATTTGAAGAGTGAGAGAAAGGAGYAAAACATACAATTCTATTGAAACTGRGTTTCTTTGTTCATTGTTCACAAAACAGTCTGTTTTACACTCTTAATTGAGTAAGATTGGGGTAGACAGGTTATAATGCAGCAAGATCCTTTCTGAAGTAACAAGGCTGGGCAGAAAATGTTTYTCCCTCCTCAATACCCCCTTCTCATCAGTCACTACTGTTGAGCCCTAAAGATTAGGAGCCAGACGGGTGCAAAAGTAAGCTCCTATCTTCAGATTCCCAATGACGAATTTTCCCAGGGGAGTGCTGCCACAGGAGAGAAATATCACAGATTGGCCAACCCTTGCACAAGAATTCGTGAGGAGTACAGTGAAAAAAAAAMCACAAGTGTATGTCTGGTAGAAAGAAGGCTCCCAGTCTTGACAGCAGCAGCTGCTGCAAGGTTTGAATACCAAACTGAGCCTAGCAGAAAGATACTTTCCTCTGCAGAAATGTGAGACACTTCAGCTAATCTGGGCCTAAACACAGAGCAAAAAAGAGATGGCATTTCAAATTTGTCTAAGCGCCCATCTAACACTACAATCTGCCTGAACCTGAAGTCTCAATGGATRAAAGAATGGAATTAAAATGGAAAAAAAATTGGAATTTGAAGACTATTCAAGCACCTAGTCCTCAACAGATAGCTGCTAGATATTCTTGCAGCTAACAAAAGTGGGCCTGTAGGGCATTAAAAGAAATAAAAAAGCATGAGTAATTGGAATAAACAAACACTGACTCTTTCCTTTCCCCTGATATTTGCTTTAGTCAGATTCATGCATATAAAGTGATGCGAGACTATCCTCCACCCACTCATTCCACCCTCATATTTCAGCACATGGATTTCACTAATCTTATCTAGGAACATGTCCTAAAATGAAACAACTGAAACAGAGAATAGCAGAAATGGTAAATAATTCCTTTCTACACAGCGTGATACTGTAAGAGATTGCACTGAGAGCTGAAGCTACCAGCAAGATTCCCAAGGAAACTTCTCATCTCCAGGCTGTGCGACTGTACTCCAAGTGAAAGCAGACAAGGCTGCAAACAGTTCGTAAAGGAAGGGCATTTGTTTGAGAATTTCCTCCATGCATTTGGCAAAATTATATTTAATTCTGGATTACTCTTTCTTACTTTTGCTGAAAATCAATCTTACCTCAGTCTGATGACAATGTACAGACTAACAATGCTTAGAAAATACCAGGCCTGCATTTGCGATGCCAGAGGMTGTGTCATGGGCAGATTCCACAGCTGCCCTGAACTGAGTGAGGATTACAAAGGAATCACTTTCTGCTGAAATAAAGGCCTTTTTCAAACAATAGCTATTAATAACTAACTGCAAGACGCACGGTAGTTTAGTTCAGGAAATAAGCTCATACTTATGTGGAAGAACAGGAGGACATTAGGTAAAGAGATTAGTGGGGCTGGGGCTTTGCCAAAATATTGGTACTCTAGAGGTATGCTCACAGAAAACACCGCTGGATTTTTCACTGTCCCTTCACATGGTTCACACCCACCTCTTCCATACCTCAACAAAAATACTGCTCTTTTGCTGGAGCACTGTTTTCTGCGCAAGGTCTGTATGAGCAACATGGATTGTGCTGCCCACAGAGCCACTTTCTGCATCAGGTGGCTGCACTTGTGTAGCTCCTGCCAGCCCAACAGATTGCAACAGAGRTGGTTGGGACTGTCCATGTAGGCCTGAGAACAAAAGCCCATCACCCAAACCAGTAATTTGCTGGACAAGCAAAAGTATCTGCAGCGGGGCTCCTGCAGGCAGGGAGGCTTGTCCCACTCACACAGCACAAGGCAGACACCATCACAGCAGCATGGAAGCTGTAGCTGCATTGCAGGKTTTTTTTTGCCATTTCAAAGCAGAAGCATTGCTGTATTGTGACCTCTTAAAATCACTCAGGGCTTTTAGTAATTTGTTAAATTCACCGAAGTTCTGTCCTGTTTTATTCTTGTCAAGTGAAGGAARATATAAACTTACTCTTGTCTTCTGCAACTGTTAAGACTCGATGCTGTCCTGCTTTCTTTCCCAGCTATGGCATCATGTTTGACAGTGATTAATATTTTACCTGGCAAACTGACGCAAACTCTTTGACACTACTCTCCTCTGTGGCAAGTGGTCCATCTAGGGTTTTCCAGAATGAAAACAAAGGGATGCTGTCAAAAGCCAGCCTATGTTCTTTGTGATAATGTGGTACATTAAAAAAATTACTGTGAGGTTAATTCATGGCAGTTGTGTATATTCTAGATCACCTTTTCTACAATGAGAACTGCAGCTGTAAATTTGAGGAGGTCTGTTCTGTTAGATAGAAAGTACAAGGACTATAAAAAGTGAGAAGCTCATTTCAACAGTYCTTCAGAATCCTTGGATTTCATTTTCTTCTTGGTGATCAGTAAAGAAACTAAACCAAGCATATGAAGGAAAAGTTCATTTTTGAACTGGGAGGAGGTTAAGGGGTGGGAAGCAAATGAAAGGGCTTTGATGATGGAGAGGAGACAGCAGTGGGTGTTTGCTGAAACTGGTTTTACTCAACATCTTAATTCACAACCTGCAGAAGGGAGAGTGCACAARATCTCCAGATCTGTGGATATTCCTGACCTCCTTAGGGCAGTCAAATGCCTTGCCAATGACAAAGTCCTGCAGGATATCACAAAATTGAACAAAAGGCACACTGCTGGCAYAGGATTTTCAGTGTAGATAAATGTAGGTTAATGCATGTAGAAGAGAATAATCCAAACCAAAGCTCTTTGATGCTGATGATGGAACTGGCTGTCATGGCCCAGGAAACAGATCCTGAAGTTGTTGTTAACAATCTGCCTGAGATCACCAGCCCAAGATGCAACTGCAGCCAAAAAAAAGCCAACAAAATTTTGGGAAGCAGCAGGAAGGGTGTTGAGGGAAAGACAAAACGTGTCTTTTTGTTGCCGTGTACCCTCAGTATGCCACATACTGAGTCCAGCTTCCATGCTTGGTCTCTCACAGAGAATAGGAACATACCATTACTATCAGTGTAGAAGATTTGTGGAGAGTCTAAATAGCTGAAACACTGCCTCCCGTCCTAAAAAATGGCAATGACAGATATGGCTGCTTTGACATCTTAGAGAGAGAAGTTGTACTTTCTGAAACTCCAGATCAAAGTCTTTTGTATTACCTCTTGATCTCATGGCTTACATGTAGATACAGATCCTCCCTTTGTTCTTCTAAACAGGGATTTTTTTCAAGTACAGTGTTACATCACTATCAGGGGTTGCTCAGGGTTTACAAATCCATGATGGCATTTTACCAGTCACATCTTAATGCTTTAGCATAAGCCCAGAACTTGATTTGAGGTGATTAACATTCCAAGAGGTTTATTTAAAATGCCTCCTTCCCTAGAGGTGCCTTAGATTGCCTCCACCTGCAGTAAAATTAAACATTTATTGATTAAACCCAGTGGCATTAAAAGAAGTCTCTTCTATTAAATGGGACTCTGCTGCCACAATTTATTTGCAAAACAACAAAGTCACAACCCTTAAAAAGTAATTTAACCTGCACAGCTGTTAGAGCAAAGAATGAGATTGAGAGAACAAGATCACACTGTTTGGAAACAGCAACAAATTTAATAACTTACTGCACTGGAAGTCTATGCTGGTCKATTGCTTTGGTACCCCAGTCTTGAGCAAGAGCCCTGCAGTGAACAGACACTGCATCTTGAACACATCCATGTATGGTGATATTTGCCAGCTGTAGAAAAGTATTTGAGAAAATTTCATTCATTTTGCTGCCTGTTGCCTGCTGAATTGACCGAACAGAACAAACATTGCAGTTACTGAGCAGACCTTTGCAGTACACTGAATTTTTAATGCTTTATACATTAAAGCTGYAATTTCAGGGATGATCAGGAAGTTTTTTTGCACAGGCTGCTCCAGGAAAGCAGAAGGCACTGTTTTTTTTTTCGTATAAATCCACCACACATACAAAAACAGCAAAAGAAAACCAGTCTGCGTGACAAAAGGATGCAGAGCAGAGGGGATTAAGGGCAATGCAACATCAAATAGGAAAAGTGGGATGGTTAAGTCTTCAGCTGGGAAAAACATTCTAAGAGGCATGATCTATCTGTGCTTATGTGAAGCCTCTGCAGCTTCCATATATTGAAGGAAACAGGAGTTGCTTGAGAAGCCAGGTAAATCCTTTCTTACCAGTCCAAACTGCGTGTGGGAAAGGTGGACTGGATCCCACTTTGCTAGTTCTGTAAACCTACTGTGATTTTACTGACTTCTGGGGGCATACCAGTAAATGCACCTATTTATTACAATTGCACATCTAATTAAACAGCTTACAAAGTTGGGTGTGGAGGAACAGGAGACTGTTGCTTTCTGCAGTACTGCAGGATTTCACAAATTGAGGAAGAAAMACCCCAGTAACAGATGCTCAAGCACCTTCAATGGAGAAGCATGGATTTGGCTAATAGAACTGCCTCTTTACACTTTTTATGCTTGGYTCTATTAAGGTGTATAATGAAATGCAAACACACCATTGTGTTGTTTGATTTATCCCCTKTTGCTACCATGTAGTACTGCTACATTATGGTAAATCTTCTTTAGCTTATGCTCTCCTCCCATCTGCCGCTTTTTGTTCCTCCCTTTTGCTCTCCTTTCTCTTCACAATTTTGTTTGTTTCTTCTTATGTTATTTAGTTTTCATTCAGCTGTTCTCTGCATTAGCCTCAACATTAGGCAGCTTGGTAATCATCCTTCCAAGAAATGCACTACACACCCTGGCAGCACAGCTATAGAAAACAAACAGCAGAGAGCTTCAAGCAGCAGCCTCAGGTACCCATCCTAAATTAATCATGGTGCTGGGAAAATTATTTTGACAGTGCAAAAAAGCCACTCACCAATGCAGGAAAACTATGGCAGAACAAGCCTGGAATCAGAAAGCAATTGGGGAAACAGGTATCGAACACTGCTGAAGATGTGTCAGCACAGATCTGCATGAAATGTTCTGCCCAGGCTGAAATAGCAAACTCAGCCTCTTGGCAGTGATGTTGGGCATCCCATCTCTGCCCACAGGCAAGTGGAGATTGAGTWGTCAAGCATAATCTAGTCAGGGCTCAGCATGGGTTTTGTCAGCGTTGAAACAAAAGCCAAATTTAACATGAGACTTCCATGTCCAGGGTGGCTAAAGAGAAGCCAGCTGACAGGGTTCCTTTGCAAAACCAACGTTTAGTTTCCTGCCTACATTCTTGTCCTTCCTGCTATTATAAAATGTTCTTCCGTTTCTTGGGAGTGAGCAACTGTGATACAGCAGTGAATCATGTTTCCATGTCTTAAGCTGSATTACACTGAAAGGAAAATCCAAGTCTAACTGCTGCACAATTGCACAAAGTAAGTTTTATAGATCCCAACAGCCAGAACATGGCCCAAACTGCAATAATATAGTAATTTTAGCAGGGCCTGTAGTGAATACTGCAGCTCACTGTCAGGGAACTGACAATACAACTCCTGGATTCAAAGTGCATGAGGCTCTGGGCATGAAAAGCTGCTTAGTCCCTAATATATTCATGCAGCACTTCCAGCTGCTTCTGCTCAGTCAGCCAGCACTGCTGCTGAAACTCCTTAAAGCCATGGCTGCAGAGAAAGCCCCTAGACCAGCAGTGCTCTCGTGTAGGCCCTGTTGCACAGCCTTTTTCCGTAGACTAACAGTGCTCCAAGAAAACCTGCAGGAAATACTTATAATTGAGAGCCTCTCCCTTTCAAGGTGCTGATTGTAGAAGCACTCAAATACCTGATATTCACACTATTTTAATGAGTCACACTCAATCACTCAAGAATCAGTACTTTAATTTCTTGACCTTCCCAATAAACACGTTGAAAATAACAAGGAGGAGCAGAAAGTTTTACTCTGCAGCAGGGATTCTTCTCTGCTTTAATGTGAAGGACTTGTACCACATTTCTTTTAGGAGTTTCAACATTGCAAAATTGCAATTGTCAAAAYTGCACGTTCGCATCGTTTCTTTATGGTTAAAACTTGTTAGAAATGTAACCAACGCACTTCACACTCTACAGATTATGTGAGGAAAGCACTAAAGAAAGAGACTGGAACAGTCAAGCATTCCGCCCATTAGGACATGGTGAGCTATTTTGGTACTAAGAGAAAAAAWGAAGTGCTCCTTTGTGATGCTCATTGAGACTCCTTGGTAAGCTCATTTTCTCAAATCCAAGTCTCTTCTCATTGTCACTTTWAAACAGCTTGCATAAATAATGAAAAATTTTAGGTACAGAAAAGGAATTGTACATGCCTCAAATTAAAATCTGACCACTCAAATCAATATTCAGAAATGCCACACTTCTCCAAAACAAAAGTCACCAGGATGTACACCAAAACAGACTCTGCTTCTGCAACTTTGCTTCCCAGGAATAAAAACTTCCCATGGGGCCCACTTCCCTGATGCCCAAACCCCTGGAAATATTTTATTGGGAAACTTCACAAAATAGTTTTATAGCTCTGGAGACTCATCTGAAATTGAAACTCTCAGGACTTAATTTCTCAGACCATTAACACTGAATTTCTATTCCTTCAGGAGCAGCTAAGCTTTGATATTGACAGGAAAAYGAGTCTCAGAAGGAAAATCCATCCCAGACAGGTTCATGGCTACAGTAGCAGTGCTATACAGCACTACTTAAAGAGACAGCATACCCATGAGAACACGCATTTTACAGCCTTGAGATTAAGATGAGCTCAAATGTGTTTTTGACAAAAATACAGAAATATCCAGGGTCATATTGTAATATTACAGAAGTTACTTTGTTTTGGATAAAAGCAATGTATTTGATAATCTAAGGTTAAAGCAATTTCACATATACTTTAGTACTTARCAAAGTAAAAAACATCAAGTGTCTTTACAGTCAGAAGACAAGACAGGCAGAAAAGACAACTGCAACTATCTGACTGCAACTTCTTTCAAGTAGAGGTCTCTTGGACAGTAGTGCCATTACTACGACACTCCACCTGCAAACCCTTTCTCTACCTGTGCCTCCTTCTTTACTTTTTGTGCYGTCTGTCCAAATTCAGGCCAGTTGGCCAAGACCTCAGCCTCTGAAAGCCTCACATAAGAGACTATGCAAAACATCTTCAATTTTATACAGTTGCACCAACCACCCTTAAAAAAAGTAAAATAGAACCTCTCCTGCCCTGATTATCTGAAGAATCCTTTAGGGTCCAGGCTAAAATGTCAGTTTCTTAACAAGGCCTTTCATCTAGCCCTGAGGTAGTTTCTGTCCCAGGACATTCAGAGTTCACTCTTATTCAGGCCACAGTTATAATCATGGAYTGGTTTAATACAAAATTGCCCCCTGCTGCCCCATTCTTTGGGTTTTGCTTTGTAGTTATATTCATGTTAATAAATCAAAGCTATTTAAGGAAATCAACATGACAGCCATTAATGCAACCACACCAGACAAGTACCACAGGTAAGGAAGGTAAGAGCTCTCTCTGTCTCATCCTTCCCTCCCTCATTTCTRTATGTTTCCAAAGCTTTTCCTTGTCCATGCCTGGTTTTTTGGTAAAATCAGCTAATTCACATTGGCAGTCCAGGGAGACAGGAGTTAAGACACATAGAGCCGAAGGCCACATAGTAAGATGTGTCTCCTGCCTCCTCAGCAGCAAGAGCTTTCCAGACCCAGCCAGGGCAATGGTGAAGCAGATGGTGATGATGGGTGGGTTTTTAATTTCTATTTTAGCTTCTGGAATTAATCAGCATAGCTGCCCCAAAGAAGCATCCTGTAGTCTGGGGAAGCTGGCTTCACTGCAAGACTGCAAGTGAAACTAAGGCTTTCTAATGGCAACAAAAACCCTGCCACCCCCTGCCCACTGCTCTTGAAGCACTTTGTGTCATTCCACTCATCTATTAAGAAAGCTCTCAGAGACCATTTTCCTAATGCTAGTCTAAACACAGGTCTACAGTTTGGACAGCATTTTCTTGATACCATATGGAAGTAGCATCAGGTTTCAACACTACTGTAAAATCAAAGGTAAAGTTGCCCTCTGGCCCATCTTACTTTGAGCCTTTTCTGCAGTCTATTCATAGCTAGCAATTTCGAATTTGTTCTTTTACAGAAGCCACACAGCACAGTAGTGTAATTTAAGAGGCCAAATGTGAAACCTGCAGAAAATGCAGCATAATTAGAGGTTAAGATGCATTTTGGCACTGTGATTTCTTCCCTGACACTGCCTTTCACACAGACATCCATCCAGCTCTGTGACTTTAGAACATCTCCAGGATTTTAGCATCTACTTTTCGATACATATGTATTTGAAAAAAAATTAATACCTATTTCCCAATAAAGTACATTCTGTGCATTGTTTTAGTTTCACACTCAGTGCGAGGGTAGACACACTTTACAGGACAAAAAATTTAAACCATGACCACTTAGTAAATTATGCATTGTAGTGATTGAAAGACAACAAGCACCAGAGAATATATACATGCTGAAGCCTGATGTATATTCTACATTGGGAAGTCTTCAGTGAAATGATAAAGAATTTGTGGTTTTTCCCCCAATTACGAGAGCAGAGGATTTGTCAAACATTGATTCTGTAGCTTCTACTGTCCACTCTATGCCTCCTTCCTCTTGATGATCAGAGGTCCAACGTTGTCGCCAGTTTCCTCATTGTGCTTTGTGTGAGAGCCATCACACAGTGGGAACTGAAAAAAGAAAGAATAAACACATTTAAAGTACATCCAGAGTCAGAACTAAGAATCTAGGCTGAAAGTTCATTAAGCATCTTCTCATTATATCCACTGAAACCACAGACCRCAATTTTTATGTCAGCAGCTCAGGTCTCCCTGAGTTTTGGGTGAACACTAGCTTCATCCTTCTTAGTGTAGAGCAGACAAGAGGCTTGTTCTAAAAAAGCAGCCACCAACCTTCATTCTATTTGGTGCTCCTGCCTCAGGTTAGCAGGAGGAAACTACAGCCCAAGTAGACCTTCAGTTGTAACTTACCTGGAGCACCTTATTCTTAACTTTGCCCCATGCTTCCTCAGTGCTGCCATTAAGAGCCACATCAGTTGGAAGTAATTTGAAGAAATGTTTATTCCACTAAAAAACTCTAAACAAACCCCACCCTAGAACAGGCTGGTCAGAACAAGAATTATACGGACTCCTTTAGCCAGCTTTAACCACCCAGGTCCTAGAGCAGCAACAAGTACTGTTCCTGGGTAGCTCTTTTCACATGCAAGAGCTAAAAGACATTCTGTGAGGCAGTAAAAGTGATGTTGGAATCCATCACTCCTCAAGAATTCATTTTCRGGGCCATACCTCTTATATATAGGAAATCCTGGAGACGATCACAGAAATCACACAGTTTTGCATTCAGTTATAATTCTGTTTGCTTAGAAGTAATGGGACTCAAAGTCGGTATTATTCAGTTTTTGCCTTTGCAACATCACTGTTCTCTTGCAGTACCATCACAGTTAGTATTCAATGTTCCAATGATCTCAGGGTACTTCAGTCACAGCCTTTGAAATACTCTATCACCCATGCTTAGTTAAAATAAAAGATTTCAAAGTACTGCACAAAACTAATACAATGTAACAATATGCAGAGCTTTAAATAACCTCACCTAATCTGTAGGGTAGTGTCGGGAGAGAAGCAGAGAGGTAAGATGTGGGGGTTTCTTCTGGCTTTTCACAATAAYAAAATGTCAAAATCTACACTAAAACATGACAGATGATATTTCTGAATAAAGAAACATTGAATTCAGAGAATGCTGATGTAAGCTCATTCATGCAGAAACTTTCTTATCCCACCAATCACTTGTGACTCAATGAGTAAGTAGTGACAGATACTTGGACAAAATCTGAGCAAACAGGAATRTATGTTTGTGGGACCCTGATCAGCTTTCAACAGCAGATATTCCCAGGCCAGTTGTTTTTCCATGCAACATCACAGTCCACTGGTCTTCACAGAAGCAACAACACAGGTTCCATCAGTCATTAGCATYGCACAAGCCCCAGGAAGCCCAAAATAAAGTCCAACTACAGCAACACCATCACTTCAAGTTTTCAAGCAACAAAAAACATGGGATTCCTAGGTTTCAGACACATCTAGACATCTTTMACAGCTACCAATGCTGACTGCTCTGAATTCATCCTACTGGTCAGCTGGGCTCAGAACACTGACTCCCAGGGGCTAGACTTGAGCTTCTCAGGAAAAAACAGCAAACTAAACATCACTTTTCCAGAGCACCTACTTGGTCACCTTGAAGACCAGACACTGCATAGATGGATATTGGGCCTGACACAATGTGCTCAGCCCTGATTAAGAATAAAGCAGGTTAGCAATAGCATTTCAAAACCCCAGGGGAACTGTACAGTGATCTGGACAGCCCAGATGATTTCTCTTGACAGYGAACACATTTGGATCTTCTGTCACTATTTCTGCTCACAGCCTGTAGCAATACTCCTCAATCCGCAACCTGGGGACTAATACTTCTCTGGAAGACACAGAGGCTGCAGGTCATTGGAAAAGACAGCAAATTAATTCCCCCCTCCCCCAACTCACAGCTAAAAATGAAGACAAGAAAAAAAAAAAAAACAAATGTTGTAACTTTAATTACAGCTTAAAGACATTAACTCTTGCCTCTACACTGGTAAGTTTGAACACTGGTTTGTTTCATTAAACTGGACAACTATGAAGTGCCGGCAGAGCAAAACACTGAATAGAAAAGGTTATTTAAAGAACCACCCATTTATTATTAACAGATAATTACATCCCAAGACAAACTTATTTCAAGATACCACACATGGTTTTCTAAAACACACAGACTGCCACAAAGACTTTTGGCCACCGCAAAAGCCTTTTAAGTACTCTATTACAGAAAAAAAAAAACCAAAGAAAACCAACTGCACATAATCCTGCTCTTTTTTCAAGAGTATTTTACTCCGAAATACTCTGGTATAGTCCAACTGTTTTGCCATTCCCTGAAGAAGACGAACACCATGTGGGGTCAGCTGTGAGTTGCATGTACACTATCTGCACAAACAGAAACAGCCTGTGGTTCTTAATGCTACTGGTTCCAACTACAGCATCATGCCTCAGGTGAGCCTGAATCTCATGAGAAGTGCAYAGTGATATAAAAGGACATTTCTTCTAGCCTTTATATGCAACGATTTAACAAAAACACAACAAGTACTTAATGCATTGAAGTCATTTAAATTTCCTGCACTGAACGCATACACATTCCACAGTCTGACACCATATAATTACAAATTTTAATGGTGTGAAAATTGTGAGAGTCAGACAACTTCCAAAGATGGCAAGCATATGAGAATGATGTATTTTATTGCTGCTTGGCAATAAACATGAAAAGCACAAACCATATCAAAGGTTAYGCTACCCAGGCTGCAAGGTCAGCCTAAGGTCAGCAAGAGGAAGGCAAAAAACTAGAAACTAGTCTTTGAAGCGGAACATACTGACTGAAATATTCATCATTAAACAGCAGTAAAAGAAAAAAATGCCTTCCAAAATTTCCATTGACCTCCCAAATGCCTTTACAAGACCTTTCAGATCACAGTTCTAAGAATGTACTCATAATAGCCTCATCTACTTCCTTTCTAGCTCAGTAGGGCAGTATGTTCCTAAACTGACCAAACCCCTTAAACATATGCCAAAATGTACTTCGTAAGGTTTTCACTTCACACCAAAGAAAGGTAATATTAAACAATTGGCAGGAGCTGCAATGCAGCCACTAGAACCAGACACCATCTTCCATTTCTGTTTAGAAAACTGAATAGGAAGCAGAAAGCACAAGCACTAGGGTTGAAGCAGGTTTTTTCAGACTCCAGATAGAATAAGCAAGACAAAGCCACCTCCACAKAACTATTTCAGAATCAAATCATAATGCTGTTTAATCCTTAGCAGTGTTACACTGTAAAACTGAATTCAGGTACAAATGTGTAAACTCCTGAGTTACCTGCAAGGTAATGAAGTCACAGCTGACAACAGCAAGAACCAGAAGTTAAAGCATCTTAAAATTGCTGAATGTGGCCCAATATGACCACTGTCTAAGACTTGAGAAGTTGCATATTCAGCTCCCTGGAGGAGAGAGAGCTAGATTTCAAGACAGTTATCTGGCTTTGGAGGTCTGTATTATTTCARTCTCCACATACTGGCATCTTCTAAGAAAGCTTTTAAAAGTGCACCAGTCATAATTGGATAGGATTAATCCTGCAACCTGCTTTCTCTCTTTACAGATGCCAGAACTACTATTATGGATAAAGTATATACATTGCAGCTACATCAGGTATCACACATTTCTAAGATCAGATTTAAATCTGAGGTACTGTTACTGAAAGGCTAGGTTACCACTAAGTGAAGGCAACTGAGGCAATCCAACTTCAAATACAAGCAAGCTGGATATTTAGACCAGACCTCTAATTGCTCAAAAATAGGGGTTTAAACTATGCCACTGTGATTGCACTGGCATACACCATGAACTAGTAGCACAGTACTTTCTGACTATGCTTCCAACTTTCTYCAAAATGAGGTGTTGAAGGTCCTCATAGACTGTGTTTCTGAGTTCCTACTGTCAACGGGCCAGTCATTTTGGATAAACCTCAGTATTTGCACAGGCAGCGCACAAAATGGTATCTGTCATTCATGACCATGCTCCAGACAATTGCTCTCCTTTCAAGAGATCTTCTTCAGAGCTACAGAAACATTTTGTCCACCATTAGCACTGATCTGCAGTCTTTACTCTGAGCATCAGCATAACTCTGCATAGCTCTACAGGTTAGAATACGCTACATCTCAATGCAGCAGAGTTTAGGTAAAAAGAGATTAGTTTCCTCTAAACAAAATAGTTTAAAATAGTTTTGTTGAAAGATGTGTGCACATGAACAACTCCGCACCATTCATTCTGCTCTTACCTTCTTAGACCTCCAACAACGACAGTACACAGCCTTGTCTCCCAGATCTTCCACATCAAAGGCATGGACTACCTTGGGGTTATCCTTCTGGATATGGGGATTCACCATTGCTTTGCAACACTTGTCTTTAGAGAGAATTTTTTTGTAAGTTAGATATCCAACAGCAGCTGCTCCAGCAGCTAAGGAGACTGCAGCAATCCATTCAACTAGAATAAAAGAAGAATAAACAAGAGTCAGGTTTTGATTACAACACTCTATTAAAACTRCTCAGCTGTAAATGTTTTCATGGCTGCAGCAAAACCTTTTCACTTTACAACAGATTTTCTTGTTCTGTAATAGTAACTCTCTACTTTAGCAGAGTATTTTCCTTTGACACATACATAGTTAGTCTGCTCTTTTCTATTGGTCAGAGATCTACTTCTAGTAGAACTTCTAGTTCTTTCTACACAAGGGTGAGAACTAACCTGGCGGAGTTTTCATGGGGTTTTTTTTTTTTTTCACTCCTCTATCTAGCAAACTCTGATATCAACATCAGTATACATTGTTTCTAAGTTCAGCATATTAAATCAGCTAAAAGTATATCATGTAGCAGCAAAAAACCTGTGCTTGTTTCAATTGCAAGAAAGTCACTAAAGAAAAGTCAGCACCAACAACCCAAACAGGTTTCCCCTGCCAAGGCACAGGCATTGAGAAGCTTTTAATAAAATGTCACTTGTAACTAAAAAAAACTAAAAGCAGTTGTTTGGCAATAGGGAAATTATTAAATAAACTACTGGCAGTACAAAAGCCATCTTAGATTAAATCTCTAGTGTGGTAAGGGAAAGAACAAGGATTCAAAAACATTATATTTAAGAATCATAGCACACGTTTATTTTAACTAGATTAAGTCCTGAATCTATGCAAGACAACATTCATTAAAAAATCCTCTTTCCACAAATTCTCAACCTCTCTTTTCCTTTCTTTATTTACCAATAAAATTTTTGTAGTCTTTCTTAGTACAATTTCCATTCCTGCAAGAAGTTTTCCTACTTCTTTGTGGCTCTACTGTTTTCTGTCTGCTTCATGAAAATATGCTGGACTTTGGCCCAATGGTTTGGGGGTTGCAGCACCAGCTCCGGTCATTTCCTCTCAGACAAACAAGTGGCTGCTCTTTGCTTTTTATCCACCACTTCTACATACACATGTACTGCGAGTTCTGTTACAGACAAACAGGAATTTAAGTTTTAGCTCATTTACAGAACTGAATAAAATTAGAACAGTCTCCAGTTGGGAATTTCTATCCTGCCCTTCTTATGTTTCAATTGGATTTGTGAGATCCCAAGCCTGATGGCGTCTTTGGAGCAAGAGACATCACTACATTCAAGCCTAGGAAGAAACAAAAGCCTTTGTTAGTTCATGCTACTTTCCACAACCAAGTGACTTGCAGTATTTCCACTGTGAGCTTGGACTAAAAGTATCAAGGTTTTCTGCCCCTGTCCCACAGACTTTTCTAAAATCTATACCAAGCCCTTTCCTCAGATAAAACACTGTTAGCTCAGGCACTAGACACATCCACAAGCAACTAGCTGTAGCAGCATGTGGAATTAGATGACTATCTGTACTTTGTCTACACCCTTGTACRCTCAGGGAAAGCAGGCACTCCTTTAGAGTCTTACTAAAGGAGAAAAACAGAGTTCATTTTCTTAGCAAATGACACAGAAGAGACCAACACACACTGAGACCTCCCCTGCAAGTGAGTGACAAACCCTTCCTGTAACAGTAAAGTGATATTAAGGTACAGAAAAACATCTTTAACATGGAAGAATTTACAGCATCCTCCTCCACTTCTCAGAACAATAAAATCCCCAGAGACCATGTTAATGCTGTGTTTTATATCCATCCTGTGAGTTCTCACCCTTTATTCCCCAGAGTAGCAGGAGTAATATACTAATTTTGATAAAGAAGTGGAGATGAAATTTAAAAAAAGGATTCTATGAAAATCTGGCTTAATTTAGCACAACAACCTAAACTAATAAAAAAAACCCGCAGTTTAAATCCAAGACAGCAGCTCTCCAAGAAAAGCCACTGCAGCACTCTTGCCCAGTCTCACATGAGCAGGGCTGTGGCAGGCAGGAGGTACTTGGCAAGCTCAGGGACATGCTGGGTCTTACAATTTTGAAGTGACCTTGCATGAAATGTCAAGTGCAGCTACAGGAGCAAAAGCAAACCTGAGGGACTGGCAAATTGCATGGCTTTTTGAGAAAGCAGCAATTGCAAGGATTGCCCAAGCTGTTACCGCTGCACTGCCAATGGAACAAATCTTCACCTACATTTTAAATAGATGAGGGGACAGGGGGACCATATCCATTCCCTTAAGGAATCTAAGGAGAAGGAGTGACTAATGAAGATCACAGATCTTCCTGTAACTGAAGCACCCTTTAAGGTGCTGCACCTCAAGGAAGCTGATCTTGCACTTATCCAAAAGTCCAGGTCAACTTACCAAATGAGAGGAGGGGAAAAAAATTGACGGTAATGTTTCTGTTACTGACTAGAAACRAGATGTGTGTACTAAAACTCAGCAGCGCATTCAGAGGAGTTATTCTGCACAGCTGCAGCCAACCAAGATCCCTCTGACATCCCTCAGGCCATCCCCCGTAACTGTGCACAGCAGATCCGKTTCAGCAAGTAGAGATCATGAATCAGTCATCTCAACTTGCAGTGATCCTCTAYATCYTCTCCCAAGGACCAGAGTAATCTTTTACCCACATGGGCAAGTTGTACACATACCAACAGCTTCAAATATTTTTTTTTTATAATACAGCAATGTCTTTTCTATTCTATTACCTTTTCTATTGCATTACCTCTCTCTCTACCTTTTCTTATGACTTCCCTGGAGTCACTTATCTTTTCCCCTTTCAGGATGGAAAATTATATCAACTAACAATGCATTAAATCCAAACACTTAAAGCAGTCTTATTCTTTAAATTCCAGAATTGCYGAAATAAACATAATGAAAAAAACTGAAGAAATATTGAACTTATTCAATAGATCCTCTTAAATCATCCTACAGGTTTCAGTGGCAGTAAGTTTTGTCACAGAGACAAAATATGATCTGGAAAASCTGGAACACCCATTTATCTTTCTAACTCAACCATAAAATGCACCTGGGACAACACTTTTCAGATAATTTTAAATACTCTGAACTGTTTCAAGAGACCTCTGGTGCCAATTCAACAGTTTGCTGCYAAACTCCTATTGTCATGCATGAGGCATCTGTTAACTGATGACACTGTGACACTGATGTGGAGCATCAAGGRTTTTTTACTTCTTCTTAAAATAAAAAGCAGCAGGAGCAACTTCTGAGTTGTTATTATTAAAGAACTTCCAATTCTGGTATAATACAAAACCACAGTGTTACAAGACAARACACAACAGGCCTATGTAACATGAAAGAGAAATTGGTTTTGTGTTGAAAGCACTAAAYAATGGAAAAAAGTTTGGCTAAAACTCCAGAAAAATTAACACAAAAAGGAGAAGAGACAGCATGAGAAATGGAAAGAAGGAAACAGAAATTCAAAGAATGAAGTCTCAGAAGAGCAGGTAGCGCAGAGAAGTAAACAAAAAAAAACCCAGAAGATAAGAATGACAATAAGACACAGATAGGAATTTATTCTCTTCTGTATTCTTTGGATATATACTAATGAAAGAGATTTGGATCAAAGTTTCTCCCCTCCTCTCTCTCTAAATATCTAGATCATTGCTCTAGGTATTTCCAGATCTCAGCTACAGAAGTAGTGTTTGGATCTGCCTGAGAGCTCTGAGAGATCTATCTGCAGGAAAACACATATTTACCATCTGCACKGAGAAGTGCACTAAGAAACTGAAGAAGTCTTGCTCCACCAGGATCCTTGTTAAAAACCCAGATCAATTTACATTCTAGCAACGGTCAACAATATGGGGGGAGAGTAACACCCTGACAAAGTTAGCCCAAGACAGTCGTAAGAGGCAATTTTCAAGTTACTTCTGCTGCATAGAAAGTATTTGTTACTCAAAATTCATGGAGTAATAACTTCAGGCATGAAAAACTGTATCTTATGTTTCCAAAAGTGCTTGTAACTTTCAACCATTTCTCTCCTCATTTTGYTGCCGATGAAGAGACTATTATTGTTCAGGAGTTGTTGGTGACAGTCCAGTAGTGTCACTGCCCACAACGAAAGGCAATGCTGGAGAAACACATAATACTTGCTTACCAAAGAGTTATCCAGGATAATTAAATGCACAAAAAGCCTAACAGTAAAAGYCAAGCAGTCAAGCCAACAGACTCACTTCTACCTCTCCACAGCATTCATAGGAATATGACTGACAGGTTTAATTCAACTGAAGCTGTATGGTAAAGGGTATACCTGAGAGAAGAAGATTGGTGGATTTCACAATAAGCAGCAAAAGACAAGTCATGAGACAAGTCAACAAGATCTGTGGTTGATGTGGGGTCACACCTGCAAACAACCACACCTCTCTAACAAAAAACATTAGCTTGCTACTCAGTGCCTTTCAAAGGGCACACATGCACAGAAGCAATTAACTCCCCCACGAATTAAATCTCACAAAAATACGGAACATTTCTGGTGTCTAGTTTTCAGTAGAGAATAAATGACTTTCAAAATTCTTTAGCCTATGACACATGCCAGCTGGAGAAGAACAGTGACCTGCCAGTCACAAGGCACTGATCAAGTTCAATCTTGTCAGAAATCACAATAACCTAATGCCGTCTCCTCATAAACAGACCACCCTCCAGACTGCTCCCAAGAGCTCTTCTCGTGCATTTCAGGTAACGAAGGTATTTTCAGTTTGTTTAGGAGCATATTCTTCTCCCATCCCCAGAGTTTTTCTGCTCAATGCCTAGTGTCTAGGAACTGTTCTAATTCTTGCAAGCTTATAAATGACAGCAAGCTGCCCTTGGGATCRCAACCTGGATGCAAGCTATTACCAAGTCATCCTCAGGGCTTTATTTTAACAAGCATAGCCTTCCATTACTMAAGCCCAATTCAGACTAATGTCTTTGCCACCATGCTCTGTACCAGCAGTCTCCCTCCTTCCTCTCCCCCAGAAAAAAACCGAAACGATCTGCCCGCTGAATTAAGGACATAAACAATGAGCGGCTTGGCAAGTAAAAAGCAGTCATTAAGGTAAAGYTCTTTTTGTTTAGAGAAAATTAAGTAATTCAGCTCTCTATTCTGTCCTCCATTAGCCCAACTCTTTCCTCCTGTCTGGTTGTGCAACACAATTTAAAACACACAACGCTACCTCAGGCACGGTTCAGGTCAATCATTACACAGCGCAAATATCATCGTTACGTCTCTTGTACATCATTGGGCATGGAGAGCCAGACTAAACGACTAAAATCTACAGGTTTTCATGACATTTTTCACTCAAACAGGTGGACAGGCAAAAGTAAAACAGCGGTGTSTGAAACGGGCTGTCCCCAGTACAGACAGAACCCGGGGGACGTCCGAGCCCGCTGCAAGGGCCGAAGCACCCGCAGGGGCGGTTCCCGGTCCTCACACGGCAACGGGACTGAACGGCGGGAGAGGTCCTTCATGGCCCGCGGGCCAAGCCACCACACTGCGTCCTCCCCTCGCCGACCGCAGTGGGGATATCACTGACGACCGGACCGCATCGGCCGCCTCCAGACGGCCGCGTCCCCACGGAGCGGTGGGAGGGAACCCGCCATTTTGTCCCGGGGGTTCGGGGGGCGCGAGCCGCGGGGCGGAACCATCCTCCCGAGGGGTGACCCCCGTCCTGCCCGCGCGCGGTCCCGCACGCCCGGCCCTGTCCCGCCTCCCCCCGAGCGGCCATACCCCGCACGGCGTTGTTCTGCCCCAGCCCCATCGCTCCCGCTCCCACGCCGCACCGCGCACACGCCACTCCCCAAAATGGCCGCGGGACCGCCCCTTAAAGGTCTCCCGGCAAGGCAGGGGGTAGTGGCTGCGACGTGCGCGGAATGATGCCGTGGAGAGCAAGAGCAGCAGGAGGAGGAGCAGCAGGAGGAGGAGCAGCAGCAGCGGCGGCAAAAGCAAAAGCAAACACAAACGAGCAGCAAACGAGCACTGCCACTGGCCTGACGCCTGGCACAGGGCTGTTAGGAAGACCTCTGCAGCTGTAAAATGGGACTTGGTCATTGCTGTGCATCCAGCATGGCCTCGCTAGTGGTGATGTGAGTGCCGAACACCTCTGCAAGAGGCTTAGGATAGATCGCTGTATGTGCCCTCCCCTGTGCAGTTGTGGAAAGATGAAGCTGAAAAGTGATATTCTCCGAGTGACAGGTGCCTCAAACCTCACACAGCTTGGATATTGATGTGATTATTACTATTCTTTACCTAAAACGAGTGTTATCACAATTCTGTATCGTATTAAGGACTTGCTACTCTGGGACCTAGTTAATTGCTGGACTTGATAGGAAAGATGTGTGCTAATATCTTTGCAAACAATTCCATGGGTGAGGTATAGGTGTTAATGTCTTTGAAATGTGTCTTAATGTCTCTACCGACTTCAAACCGCACATTGGTTACAGAACCCAGACAGTTTGACTCCTGAAAAAGACAAATGGGTCCACACAAGCCTGAGTTTTTGAACTTTGCAGGACAAGTACATATTCAAGGGGGAAATACGTGATAGGAGGTTTGGGAAATCTGTACMTTCCTAATACATCAGCCGATGGGGAAAGGAAGAACATACTGCCGGGAGTTTAGGGTAAAAAGAGGCTGCATCCTCCAAAACCTTGAGAGAAAAACTTAGCGGGGCTATGCCTCAGTGGACTCTCTCCCTTTATTCGACTGAAGTTGCAGGAGTGTTCTGTCTCCTTTATGGACACTGGCTTTTCATAGTGATACATATGGTCTATATCAAAGTGACAAGATGCTTATGAGGCCTATTAATTGAAAACTTCCTACAGCCTTTTTTTACGTTATCARTATAAGAATGTAATCACTTTTTACATATTATTAAAATACAATGTAATCACTTTCAATATATTATCAATGATAGCTTATATATATATTGCTATAAGTTTTTTAATAGTGTATTAGCAACATATAGTATACCAGCTGCACGTAATCTAACCAGCTGGATTAGTACATAGATATGTGAAATCACCAAGAGGCATAAATCAGAAGAGTTCTGAAGAACGTAGACAGGTAGATGCTATAAACAAGGGACAGTAGAAAGCACTAATGAGAACTTGGCAGAAGCACAGGACAGTCAGCAAAATAATTGGAAATGACAACTTGGAGGACTAGGAAAAAACCATGAACATCACAACTGCGCRTGCCCTGAAGACAAAGGTGAAAAGTCCACCATGATGAAGAGGATGGTATCTCATTAGAGGGAGACCCCCGTGACCACCRAATTGAGGATGACACACTTGTAAAACCATGACATCATGTATTTCCRTGCCCATGGGTGTATGGTGGGCSTATGGGGGGCAGTGACAATGTTCATGTTATACCATGCTTACTGTATAAATATGTGCTAATGTGAAGCAAAGGCAGGTGGGTTAGGAGGAGAAATCTCCCTCACCTCCAGGACTAYACCAGCACTGCAATAAACAAATACCTGCTTTATATGGSGTTTTATTTCTAGGCCTTTTTCGGGCATCAGTTTTGGCGACCAAGCATGGCACAACTTCTCTGCCCAGTTGCAAGATAATTGGAGTCAGGGACTCCTTAAAGCGCCCCTGAGATTTTCTCGGAGGGACTCCATACTTCACCAGCTCTCTATGGGGTAGACAAGGACCGACTGACTGCATAAATTTAAGGTATTTGCACTTTGATTTGTAACATTTTTGGTTTGTTTAGGAAGTTCCCATAAGACGTTTATACTGGGCGCTGTATCCCAGGTGAAATTCCTGAGTTGATACAAGGAGTTTGGAGACTCCTAGGTGGGGGTCAGAAGCCCCTAAAAGAAGTCAGATGACTTTTGGCTTGGATTTAGCCTGGGCCTTTTGGGTTTGATTGTTGTATGTGTTGTTTTGTGTGTTTTGCATAAAGTTAGTGTTTCTTGTCTGTGTGCTAACAGCTGTGACTGGGCTGCTGTGTGTTTGTCAGAGGTTTTGCTGTCTGTGTCTGTGTCTTTACAGCGGTTACAGTGTGTGWATCTGCCAGGAACTGGTAGGCTTTGCTAGCAGTTTTAATTTATGTCCTGTTTGGCTCCGCTACTCTATCTCACTCCTTTTACTTATCAGACTCCTATGCCTTGTTTTGTTTTTGGAATACTGTGCAGTTACAGTATCCTCAAGTTTTGTGATTCTTGAGTGCATATTTAGTGTCTGAATTGTAAAAGAAAATATTGGAGTYGGTCACACCCCTGATATCCGTTGTGTGTTAAGTGTTGTTTGCGGAGATTGAGAGTTGATGGCAGTAAGTTTTGTGGTTTTTTTTTCCTATGAAATGTAATCACCAGCATTTAAGGTTACATTAAAATAGGTAGTTCTAGTGGTAAACAAATGATTAAAAAGAGYCCTTCAGAGTGTACTCTAGCCCACTGGAAGTGAAAAATAAAGAAGTGTTATTTTGCATGTGGCATAGGACAGAGGTGTTTAAAGTTGGCAAAGAGATATGAAGAAGATAGTGTTGTGGATGTTCAGGATTTATAGCCAAAGTATGTGAGGCCAGAGGCCTGCTCGCCCCTTCCAGCTCTAGCAGAAGTGAGGATAAGATAAATGATCCTGGGGAGGGATGGAGTTCAGGGACCCTGATAGCAGCACAGGTGAGAAGTAAAACAAAAGAAGTTTTGCCTCTAGTAGCCCCTCTGAGAGAAGTAATAGTTCCCAGGGGAGAGGCTAAGCAAGTGAAAGTTCCCTTTTCCATTAATAATCTGAATAGCTGGAGAGAAGAGGTTAAGAATTATAGAGAGGACTGGTAAGTTGCTAGAAGGTTTGAGTTGGTTGTGAGAAATCAAGACCCTGATTGGGTTGATACTGATTTGATATTGTCAGAACTTATAAGCAGAGGTGGGGGATGAAATAAMATAGCAATGCAGGCTTGCAAAATGCTATCCCAAAAGCAGTAAATCAGTCAATGGTATTCCAGGTTAAGCAGGGAAGGCACTGCTTTTATGGACAGACTCTGTGCAGCCCTGCATAAATACACARCCCTAGACCCCTCATCAGATATGGGCAAGCAGCAATTACTTTCTCTAATGTTAGGGCAATCCTGCCCAGACATTAGATTTAGGCTTCAGAAAATGAGAGAGCCTGCAAGCAGGGATCTGGAAGCGTTAATGGGAGAGGCTTTGCAAGTGTACAATAACAGAGATAAGCAGGAACAGAAAAATCTGACTACAGCTATACTAGCTGCCTTGGATCAGCATCAGAATAGTGGGGGCAGTCAAGGCAGAGGCAGAAGTGGAAAAAATAGAGGGGGCTCGAATCWACCACAATCCAAATTGGGACCAAATCAGTGTGCATTCTGTAAAGAGGAGGGACACTGGAAAAACCAGTGCTCTAAACTGTCAAATCAAGGGTCAGGGACTGTTGTTGCCACTGTGCATAATGATGAATGACAGGGATTGGCAGACCTTACCCTAGTGGATCAGCTGGTTAAAATGCAGCTAGGGAATGAAAAAGAAGTTGAATTTTTTATTGAYACTGGAGCTACATTTTGAGTTTTAAATCAAGCCTTGGTACCTAAAAGTGAAAAATACATTCAAGTTCAGGGAGCCACGGGCCAACCAGAAAATGCTTTCTTTTAAAACTACTTGAATACAAAATTGGGAAAAGAATCTGAGTCAGAGTTCAACACACCTATATTGCCATTAAAAAAAAAAAAGTGAGAAAGAAACCCCAACAAAACAAAAACCCCAATAGAACCTACAGACAGTGTGTGGGGGGAAAAAGTGGCCCCACAAGCCCTGATTCTGAAACTCAGCCAATTATTGTGTATGACTGAGTCCTGGGAAAAGAAAGGGAGTGTTAACACACTACATGGAGGAGGAATACCRCATCCTTGGCTACTGTTGAGGAAAGGAGATTGGAATGTAGAATTGATAACACAGGTGGCTGGAAATTATAAACATTACTAATACTGTAGCTTTTGCAAACTCACCAATTATGTACTGATTACTAATTCAACAGCTGTCTCTTAACCAAWGTATGTTTGACACAAATGTATACTCTGGTTGCTAAAGKGGATAAAAGAGGCYTGTCCCACAATAAAGTTCTTCTTTCTCTCTTTTTTTYCCCCCTTTTTTTGTGTGTTTTGTATCTGTTATTTTATGTCGCTGTTTGGCCAGGAGCGACAACAGTGCAAGATTTACAGGCAATGAATGAAATTACTAAGAGCATTCATCTGGTAGTGGCAAATCCTTACACACTGCTAACAAAATTACAAGGAAGTTTGATCTGGTTTTCAGTCATAGATCTCAAAGATGCTTTCTTCTGCCTACCCATAGCAGAAGACAGTCATGTGATTTTTGCATTTGAATGGGAAAACCCTAACACAGGAAGAAAAACACAGCTTACCTGGACCTTGTTGCCTCAAGGGTTCAAAAACAGTCCCACACTCTTTTGGAAACCAATTGGCTAAGGAGTTAGAGCAATGGCAATCACCACCTGGGGAAGGTGCACTTCTGCAATATGTGGATGACTTGTTAATCGCCACAAAAACTGCTAAGAAATGACTTGAATGGACAGTGAGCCTTTTGAATTTTCTGGGACTAAATGGTTATTGAGTGTCTCCACAGAAAGCTCAGCTGGTGCAGCCACAGGTGACATATCTCGGGTACGAGATCTCCGGAGGACAACGATCCCTGGGAACT